AATGGGTGCTTTTTCATTCGGGAAGAAATCAAGGGAGGGTTTTTGAAGCCCGAGGAGGCTGTTACTTTTGGCACCTTTCCACCTCTGTGAAGAGGAAGGCAGTTTGATTAATAAAATAAAAAAAAATTCATGCATAACTTTCGGGAAAAAGAGGGAAATGAGCCTTCCCTGGCACTCCTCACTGAGTCAAAAACAGGCAGAGACAAGCTTGGCCTCGAGGAAGGTGCTCATGCTTTTCTGCCAGCCTCAGCCATTAGGAACTCCACGACGAAATTAGAACTGAGGAAATTTTAAAGGGAAACTTTATAGGACAGCATAATAGGCTTTTAAATATTAAACAGCAGGAAAGCTTTTCTTTTAAAAAAGCAAGATGTAAGAGTTAGTCTGCATATTTACTTTCCCTAGATTTCCCCCTGGTTATTATTATTATTTTTTGCTCTAAGAGTCAGGATAAACTCCACATTGTGAATGAATAATTTTATGGAGATAATAAAGAGATAAAGAGGAACCAATAGGGTCAGAGTGAACATGAATCTTCAATGGAGTCCAGTTTTAACTCTTATTTGCCTTGAAAAGGAACCATCATGTGTAACAGAAAATTTGGGTTGAAATCAGTAAAAACATATCAGAGAATGAAAGCTCAGAATAGCGGTTTATCTATGAAAAAGGGAAAAGTGATGGATGGGTGGAACTATACTGTAAGCATGTTTTATCTTAGAAAGGGAGAAAGAGCAGAAGCAAATATGGTAAAATGTTATGTATTAAATCGAGATGGTGGTACATGGTATCTGTTATATCAATTTTTAAGTATTTTGTATGCTTGAAATATTTTATAATTAAAATAATTTTTAAAAAAAGAAAGTGAAGACTTACAAAGCAAGAAAGCTAACTGGGGCTCTCTGACATGAAAGAAACAGAACACTAGATGGTCCAGTAGCCTGAGTTGTAGAAATAATCTCGACATGGGAAGCGATTGTCTAGCCTACCCCCAGCTAATCTGAAATAGGATTTTAAACATGGGACTGAATTTCAGTAGAAAATGGAGGATTTGGGTAGCCTCTTAAAAGTTGATTTTAAAGTGATTTAACTTGAGGTATCATATTGGACAATCAGCAAGAGAGTAACCCAATCAGGTTATATATTTATGTGGTCTGTGAAAGTACAGTTAGGGGTCTGCACCCCCAAACCACAGCCAGCCCCAACAGCTTTCACGTTGGCCCCAACCCTATGCTGCTGCCTGCATATGACTGAGTGTACCAGCCGTGGTTCACAAAGGCTGAACCACCAGCCTTTCTGGGCCTCTCAAGGGAGTGGTGTGCTCTCACAGAGGCATGATGGGAAAAGAGGGCGGGAGGGAGGCTGGAGGAGAGAGAAGAGTAAGAGGCTGTAGGTGGGGAAAAGGCAGAGCCCCTAACATTCTGCTGTAAAGCCTGAACAAATATCCTTTATTAAATATGTAGTGTATGCAAATCTCAGAAATATCATTTCTTTCCAGTAAATGTAAATGCCCTCCCTCTGAAGTCCCTGCAGAATGGATTCTGAGGGTAAGTGGGGGCACTCTCCATTATACCTCCCTCCCCTGGAGGATGAGGATCATTCCACTGATGCCCCCACTGCTCACAGCTGCTGTGCAGGTTCACAGCCTTGACTGAACCCAACTCCACTTTCACTTTCTCTTCTGTAACAGATTTAGCCGAGAGCCAACAGAACTCCTATGTCAACTTTTAGCATGCAGTTATCACAGAATATGGAATATTTAAGACATGGATTTTTTTATTCTCTTTTTTTTTATCTTGCTCCTTAATATCCAAATATGCTCGCTCAGAGATTCTAGAATAAATTATACAATCACCATGATCATCATCTTGCAAATAAGTATCTGCTAATAATCAGGAAAAGTACACATTTGCAAAATAATACACTTAAGCAGCTCCATATATCCCATGTGCTACAGCTTTATAGTCGAAGAGTATGCAAAGGAGAAAGGTTACGGTTGATTCGACACTGCGTCTAGATCAGTGGTTCTCAAGCAGAATGATTTTGTCCCCCAGGGGACATTTGGCAATGTCTGGAGACATGTCTGACTGTCATCACTATAGGGATGTTATTGGCATCTGGTGGGCAGAACACAGGATGCTGCTGAATCTCCTACAGTGCACTGGAAAACACCCACTAGAAAGCGTTTTCTGGCCCAAGCTCAGTGGTGGCAAGTTTGAGAAATGTGATCTGGTTGTATCTGTCCCACTGCTTTCCTTCCCACCTCACAGAGAGATTAGATAACCACTGAAGTACACAAGTACAACTGGAAAATCCTCCTGATGAGAGACACACTGAGAACAGTTCTTTCCTCTGCCTCAATTACAAGGAAAAGGGATTTGAAATCCCTCTGTAAACTGACTAGTCACCCTCAGCTATCGTTATGAAGAGACTATTAAAAGTGGTATTGGGAGAAGAGCTCTGGACAAAGCATCTCATGGTGGTCTCTTTCTCTTCCTCCTGCCCATCCTTCTGATGAAGAGCTTCTAAGATAAATAATATTACTTCCTGTAACTGTTAGAAACAGCAGAGCCATTTAAACGCTCAGTGAATGATGACAGGCTAGAAGAACACTGACAGTTTGTAATAGATTCCCTGAACTGTTCTTCCTTTTTTTATTTTTACAATTGGATTAACTGCTAATGCTTAATAAATATATGTTGAATTAGATTGGGTGAAATAATGAAGCTGTTGCTGAAGTTTAATAATGACCAATTTACACATTTATATTTTGACTTCCTTTATTAGCAGTTGTTTATATATCTGTATTTCCCGCTAAGTATTAAACTCCTTGATACAGAAACTATAATTTGACAAGACTATCTAATGTCCATTAGGTTGTTTCAATTCTAAATTATTTTGTAAATGTAGGGCAGCAACCACTACATGAGAAGGCTGTATAAAGACTGAGCATAAATGGATGTGTAAAGTTTTTTATTAGGTAATAAATTTACAACCATGTTAATGCCATGTATTTGTTAGTATCAAGAATTGTTAGCCAGCCAAAAAAAGACCAGAGCAATAGAAGTAAATAGTTCATGAAAATACTATACTTTATATTTTTTGTTCAGAGGCAGTCCAGAAAAAACTCGCAGTTTTTCTCTCAATGTTAATTTTTCAGTGATTATAATCAGTGTCAATGCTGATAACATGTATCTTTCAATTATGCTTATCACAAGTACAAACACATGAACACATACAATATTTATCTACTGATACACGGACACATGTGTTAAAAAGGTAAGTGCTGGATTTGACTTCCTAATATCCGGGTACGCTTTGCCCCCCGAGCTTCTCTCTCCCTTGTTTCCAGAGTTATAATTCTCTGCCCCTTATTTCACCACTGTCCTCCCATGGTCCTGTCACCCATGTCCCTGTCCCCAGCACCTCAAATTGTATCCATTCCGTGTGAGATTTCAATGAGCAATAGTCTGCTGTAGGATAAAGAGCCACCAGTTTTGTGAGAAAGGCACGTTAATTCTTTTCTCTGAGCCTCAATTTCCTCAGAGGCATTCCACGTTCTACCTACCAGGGTTGTTATGAGGATTAGAAGCGGTGATGTATGTAGAGCACTTGGCACATCTTTGGTGCCTAGTAAGTGCTAACTCCCTTGATAATTGCCGAGCCTCTTTCCTCATCCAGACTCTAAAGCACTGAGACCATAAGACTGCCGTTTCCTTCTCTGGGCTAAACCCACCATATTTACCCTACCTAATGGCCTTGAATGAGAAAAACATCTTTCATGCCGCATAGAGCTAGGAGGATTAAAATGTAAATATGATTGGTAGGACTGATGACTATACAACATGGGTGGGTTTTACTCAAAAGGTAAGGCATATCATCATAGTATTTTGTCTTTTGTTTGGGATCAGGGAGAAGAAATTAGAAAGGCCGAGGCCAGAAGTGGGGTATAAGGAGAGTGAGGAAATAAAAAGCAAGCCTGGAAAAACAGACCATTTCCTTGGCATTACGATTCTACTGAGGGTCTGCCCTGTCGCCCTTCACCTAGTCACAAACACAAACCACCAAAAAGACTGAGGCCAAACGTATGTCATATCCTAAGGGGCACACACACCTTAGTGGGAACCGAGTTGATAACCTTTCACTATAGCCTTGAATTATTGAACAAATACACATTTTTATAAACAACGTTAACTGCAATTGTGGACTGGATTATCTGCAAAACAATTACCAATCAGTCTGTGAACCATGACACCATGGAGTATGAAAATAAAACAAAACTCAGATTAACTCAGAGAAAGGTATTCTCCTTAAATGAACAAACAGAAAAAGATGTAAACAGCTTGACCAAGCGCACCACAGGCATGTTATGAAGCAGTATATTCCAAGGACCACCACACATGGGTGTACATTTGCTAAAGCAGAGGCCATACCATACTCCCAGGCTCTCTGAGGGGCACTTATATATGCGTATATTTTCTCATTTAATCTCTAAGAGACTCTGTGAAGTACATACCACCAATCTTTCTGCATCTTATACATTAGCGTACTGAGGTTTAGAAGTGTTGGACAACTTCATCAAAGCCACATAGATAGTAACAGTGCATCTGAATTCATGACCTACAACACTATGCTCTATGATCCATACACTCAGTCATCTGTTTCGTTTTTCACTAAATTTCTAAAGAGCTGAAACGGAGCACTTCTTCCAAAGACTTATTAAAGTTTCAAGAAGTATACAATTATAAAAACCCTTTAAGGTGACCGAGAAATAATAAAAGTTCGTTAGCTAATGTTGAAATAATATCTACTAAATGGATATATTCACGGAGTTTTAAAATCTGCCACTTCTATTGCTAAGTGACAAATTTCTATTTAAAAATGATAATAATCCTGTGATTATTTCAGCTTAGGGGCAAAAGCAAACTGTATTCATTTAAAGCAGTTCTTCACCTTTGTTGCTAGGAAACCAAAATTCACATAGAAAGATGTCACTAACTTACTTTGACCTGAGGGTAGGACTTCTTGTTCTTTTCACTGGATGCTCCAGGGAGTCCACCATGGGAAGGGCCTTCACAGACATAACGGAAACGAAACCCTCTCTGCAGAGGCAAACACAGAGCCAACAAGTCTGAGAAATACTCATAAAAATGATCGGGACAGCTACATACAAATTTTTCATTCTTGTCTGTATTAGATGACAGAGGAAAAACAAGAAATATGTGAAAGAGGACTGTGTAAATGAGAACCACTTTTCCCATAATCTTACTGTGGACACTGAGATTAACTGATAATTTGCATACCGAGCTGTAGTTTGAAAGCCAGGTCCCTAACCCTGTGGGAACTCTCCTGCCGTGCACACCGGGGAGTTAACTGCCAGGAGTTAGTTTGAGCCTAGGACTCCACGTGCTACAGCTTGTTTGAATCAAGTGCTTCCTCATCTCAGATTGCTGCCGCCAAGCTCTGAACTTGGCCATATTACTTGAAGTTATGCTTCATTAGCTCTTACTTAAAGGAATCCCTTTATCTACTCTGATTACAGCTGGCTCAGGAGGGAACACAGCAATGTCTTGTTAGATACAGCACATCAGCGCTGTAGAACACATCGTAAACTAGGCTCCACATTTGGCCAGCTTTGTTTGCTCACCAGTTTCAGAAGACTTTTGATTTCATGATGATTGATATTATCAAGCTCAAGCTCCATACATGATCTGACCAGAATGAATGCCAAACCAGACAGTCCCTTTAAATATTATTAACTCAAGAATTTTATAAATGTAGTAAACTGATGAAGAGCTGGGTTCAAGTCTTTACTATGGGAACTACGGTGGGCTGGTAAATCCTAAACCCCATGTTTTCTTTTTTAATCCATACAAGATTAGGCTAGACTACCTTAAAGGTCTGTCCCAGTTCTAACATTTTATGGTTTACAAAGCTAACAATTATAATTTGTACACAAAGAATAAAACACGGACAATTTTGAGAACGGATCTCATTATCACATTAAGTGAACTTTCAGTATTTCTCCTGAATGACTCAACTTTATAATGATGTCAATCAATCTGCAGTAGTGTTAGTAGTTTATAGTTACACAGTTGCTAACCAGACAGTTTTCCTTTTTCCAAATTCACCTTTGGGGGAAAAGAGTATGCTAGGATACTTCAAGTAACATCCTCACCTTTCACTTATGTTTACTGTGGGACTGACTTCATGGAAACAGTGCTAGGTCACTAAGCCACCAGGGGCTCTGCATACCCTCTACTTGCTGGCGGGGCTTCTGCCCTGCACACTCTGCAACTGTGGAGCTAGGAAACACAAAGGTTTTAACAGCTCTGAGCTCATCAACCAATGTAAAATGTCTGCCCTCCTTAGATTGCACTACATTTCATGATTCCTCATGTAGGGGTCTTGGGAAATAAACAGTCTCTGAGTGGTCCAAGGGCCTTGCACGACTTTAAATTTTTGGCATCTGGAACTGTCCCTATACTCTCTGAGATCATCCTCATTTGCAAAGAGGATTAACACTAAAACATGCTCCCATAAAGCATGTTTCTCTTATTTGCAAAGAGGATTAACACTAAAACATGCTCTCATAAAGCATGTTTCATGGGATGAGTAAGGCAGGAAGTAAATTCTCTAGTATAGGGAGTTCCTCAAGTCACACATGGGTCTATAGTGTGTGATTAACTCATCAAAGCAGGACCTAGAACAGCTCTCGCATAGAGCTTAGGAGATTCCAAACCTAAATCCTAGTGAAGCCTTCTGAGGTGAGGTAGTCCTTTAGGGCAATTCTTCTGTTTTGACTCTCACAAAATTCAAACTAAAAAATAAGTTACAAATTCAGCTCTATCCCTTTTGTAAACAAAGGCTGTTGGCTCATTTTTAATAATTACATGAAATTTCTAAAAAGCATTGGCATGTGCAACAGTTAGCCTCCAGAACTGGCTAACAATAAAGGTAGGAATTTACCGGAATGGCACTCAATTTAAATACAATGTCAGTTTTTAAGCAGTATTAGATAATTAGCGGTAAATATTATGCAATAGAACTGGATATTTTAAAGATTAGTAGTCTATGCTATGACTCATCGTTGTCAGACCCAGGGGAAACTGTGGCAAAGAGACCCCAAAGGAAAAGGAACATTTTTCTAACTTTTATTTTTAAAATTGAATAAAGTGATTCATTATTTTAATCACAAAATTCCTCTAGGACAGTTGGAAAAATATATACATGTATCCTTTTATATCTTACTGGGAGTGGTATCAAATAGAATATGGGTAAAGAGACATGTCTTAATAGCTTGCTTAAATTTGAAAAACAATAGATAGTTTTCACGGTTGTATAAGAGTACATAAAGTTCTAAAGGAATTTTAACCTGAGGACGGAAATTGATTATTATTTTTAGGAAGATATGATGTCTTCAAATGTATAGTCTAGATGAATTTCTGATTCTAAATTTTTGAGATTAAAGGTTTGCCAGTCCACAGCCATTCATCTCAGTAACTCCATTTGCTCAAAATGAGTCATCAACCTCAAAGGAAAGGGTATATCCATCCGGTCAGAAAGTTCTGACTTAAATACAACCTTCTTACTTTCACTGGAGTCAGACATCAGAATAACTTCAGTTTGGTAAACAGACACACTGTTTTACTCAGATGAGCTTTTACCCCTCCACATATGGCGAATTCAATTTTGAATTTTGGAACTACATTAGTCTTCAGGTAAATTGTAAATGTCGATTTTTCCTTATAACTGTTAGGCTCCTAAGAAGAAATTGCATTTACAATTCTCATTGTAGTGCTATGCTTATGAAAATGGATAACTGAAAAACATACTTTGTCTGGTATGCAGATGAATAATTTTTAGTTGATTTCTCAGTTTCATGGATTACCCAGATCTTATAAGCTAGAAAATTTTCCAGGAGGCCACTGCATAGAATTTTAGGGATGAAGGTTTATTGGGAGGGTCTTTGAGAGAATTGGTGACCTTCTGTGAGAAGTCACTGCTATGGAATTGGACATGAGCAAAGGAAAGTCATGTTGGCGTCAGCCCGTGAAGTCAGGGTGTGCCACCTACAAGCAACTAGAACAATGCCCCAAAGTATCATGTGGCATTCCAGTCCCCACACCAAAAACTTTTCTCTAAGTTCAACTTTATAAGGATAATCTATTTGGTCATAGTTAAAATATTTATACCCTTTAAATATTGACCAAATATCATGCCACGATGATAGCATCCACAATACATGTTTTAAGTTCTTGACTTAGTTAGCATTTGTTAAATGCTACACAACGTAAAAATGCTACACTCACTAGCCTGAGCTACTGAAAACATGTAGGAAAGGCCCTGGGTAACGTCACTCCACGAGAGCAGGTATACACACCCTCAGTCTCACTCCAATTTGGTGGGTGCATCCATTCAGAGATTTCCTGACTCTGTCCTCATTCTGTACAGCAGTAAGCATACCATTACTTCTGCCCCCTAATAACTGAAATCTACAGGCAGATAGTAAAGATTCTCTTTCCTCCTCTTTCATCACTGGTCCTATGCAATTTCCAGTAAATATGATCCACAGAGTTGGGGCATGGTGAAGAGGCCACTTAAATTCCCAAGGAGCCTCTACAGAATCCAGTGGTATGAGGAAGGGCCTGAGAAAATAAAAGGCTCTTCTCTTAACCCCAAAGAGGCTGAGTTTCTAAAGCCAATGCCAGAAGGAAGAGAACTCAACTGTCCGTTCTAATACTATTACCTCCCACTTAGTGGCTTAAGGTACACATTCCTAAGACAAAACAGAAAAGGCTGGCGCTACTAAAGGTAGGAGGAAGGCTAAGGTGTACTGGGTATGCATGGACACGACTGGTGGATGTAACGGTACGTGAGCTGCATGTGTGTGTATTTCTGTAGGAATGAGGATGAATGGAGAGTGCCTATGCCTTGCCTGGGAGTGGCTGTTAAGCAAAGTTAGTAGAGATAGTAAGATACCAAGGATCGATAATTAATGGAGTCTTACAGAACTACATACTGAGGTTCAAGACAGTTTGAAAAATGACTAAGAGAAATGTAAAATGGACGAATGAAGTTGTTACATAATTTGGCAGGTTGTTGGCCTTCTAGATAAACTACCTCCTTCAAAAATTCATTTACTATTATTTGGTGCTTGAGATTAATATTATTAGACTTATGGATCTAACATTTAAAGAGAAAGTCCCACCCCTTTAATCTTACCTGTTTAGGTTGCTCTAATATTTGAAGGTATGGGCCATCTGCTAAAAACAAAAACAACAAACAAAAACCAAAAGAATGTGAGGCTTCTTCAATTTGGTATAAAATATAAAGCAAGTAAAAAACTGAAATTATGTTTTTAAAAAGAGGTTTCAATTAAATTTTTAGCTAAAATTCCACAAGGATATAGTTTATCTTCCTTATTTAAATATTAAATTTGTCCTTATTGTAACAGTTTTACACCTTTCGAGGACCACAATAAATAAACACTTCTTGAATGGTGATGGTACATTATTGTGTAACCCAACAAAAGGCCTGATGTTTGGCAAAGATTAAGACGTTAATAGCCTTCACAATCTTGTATACTAACAAAGCATTATCTTTTGCCTGCACATCATTAGATCCTGACTTCCATTCCTCAGAGAGAATGTGCTTAATGTGAAATTACAAAAGACTGAGCTGGTGCCTACATGTGTGAAATACACAGATAATGGTCTCAGGCTGTCTGCTTGTCCTTATACTGTAAGTTTTTGGTTCTTGCCCTTACTTGATTCTATAAGCACTGCCTTCATTCCCTAACTGGCTACCTTGTTCCCCCTCTCTCCCAAATTTAATTTGGTCTATCTGACATGGTAGACTTTTCTTATTAATCCATACCTTTTGATGTTTGTATACAATTTTTGAATACTGTGCTCTGATATAACTCTATTCTTAAAAAGCACAAGCTATAAAATCCTGAAAATAATTTAACTGAAGATAGGTGCATGCCAATTAATTATTATAAAAACATAATGAAAACTAGAAGCTTAATCCATATTGCGATTATATCTGACTTTGGAAATTCAAAGGAAAATCAGAACTTCTGATAGTATATATACAAATTTATTCAATATGAGAAAGTCCCTAAGCTCCCCAGCTGGTTTTATGTCAACAGTTTAATAACCCATAGCTCTGCAATAAATAAAAGTATATGGTGTTTCTCACTTCTTTGTAAATTTAAAAGCTTGGTACTAAAAAAATTCTAGGAGAATGCTTCTGTGTCCATTTCAGTCTTCACTGTCTTTTAGCCAGAAGTTCAAGACCTATTATTTTAGATAAATAAATTTATGAAGAACTACACACCTTCAAGTTGACATTATAAACTACTAATTTAAGAGAGAAATTATTTTTATCTTTTCAGTATTATGATGAATCAGCATAAGGCTAGAGAACTGTAGGAAACAAAAGTATAATTATTTCCTGTTATTATTCAAGAAATTTACAGGAAGGTCAGTTGAAAAATGACTGAATTTGAAGTGGAACATACACAAGAAAGGAAATATGGGGAGTGACTGGCCAAGGTGGTATAATTTAGGTAAATGATCTCTCTTTGTTTGTATGAAATTCATCCCTGGACATTTTAAACTACTTTTATAAAGGAAACTGCAATTTAAAAATTCTAAAACATGGCTAGAATTTAATTTTTTATAAGGAAATAAAACCAATTAAAAATAGAAATATTTTCACACTACTAACATGTAACTTGTATGACAATGTAACAAATATAGTCATAAAAAAAACATTCCCTCCAGAATTCTAAATGAACATGTCAAGAAGAGAGGCCTCTAAGAAAGCAACATTTGGATGTCATGGAAAATATAGGGGAGATGAAGTAGGGTTACATTAAACTTCAAGTCTCTCACTTATTATTGGCTCTTCTAAAAATACTTGAAGTTTTGCTATTATTTTTGCTGTATGATTAAATATCCTAATATGTGGAATTCCAAGGTTTGGAAATTTTATTAGTGAAATGGGGCCCTTTTTCTCTTTCAGGAAACACACTCAAAAGTTAAAAATCAACTGAAAATTAGATTTGATATACATATATTTGTTTTAATGACAGTTTTCTTTTGGTCACATTTCTACTCCATGAAGTGACATCCCACTATATAGAGAAGTTTAAATTACAGCATAATGTTAATAGACTTAACAGTTGTACTATAGCCCATAGAGTTTTCAACAAGTAGAACTTCTAATGGTTTTAGATTTCAAGAAACATATAAGATAAAACAGTCCATGAGAAAATTACAAGTTAATATTGGTTTACGTAATCATCCCATCCCTTCAAAATGCTACAAAATAAAACAGCATACACCTTGGATTATAAAAACTGCACCATGCCACTGCATCAGAGAGGGGAAAGTACAATAAAAACGATGAGCTAGTAACTGGAAAATAAAATTTTGAGGTATAATTTTTAAAGTCTTTCTAATATTATGGCAAAATAATTTCTACCATGTGAAGCTCTGACCCCAGAATATTGACTGAGATGGTCCTTTTGATAATCTTATTCCTAGCTCTACAAACTTGATGAAATAAAGACATTATGAAAGTGTCTGCCTCAGGAATCTGTTTGGTATTTACAAGGCACTAAATGGAAATGTGTATGTTTTGTGAGGGCAGAACCAAGTTCTTCTGTTTTCAGTAAAGCATTAATACTAAGAAAAATACTTTGATCCCCAGAATTAAAAGTTCACAGGAAACACAGAAGCTACCAAGACATTTACTTGTTCTTCACAGGAAGCTGACCTAGAGCTCAAATTGGACAGCAGTTCATGAGATCTCAGATACGGTAGCCTACAAAATATGTTTTGTGGGGTAAAGAGAAAATGGCCTCAGCAACCCAACTTTTGCCAATGAAGGTGAAGGCATAGCAGATTTTTTTTTTCCCCTTCCATGAACTTCTAGAAATAATGAAGATAAAAATGCAGAAAAACATTCTGATCTAAAAAATGAAAAGCAAGTACCAGAGTAACAATAACAGTTTTAAATGAGAATGATACACATTGGATAAAGTCCTCCAATGAGAACAAGCAAGTCCATGGTAAATCAAAGAGCTGATGTCCACTTCAGTGATTACAAAACTCCAGGTTTCATCTACAACTTCCATCATGTACTCACACTGCTTTTGAACATCTCTTAAATCCCGCTGGTGATGTGAGGAGCACAGAAAAAGAACCATCACACCGAACTTACATACACGTCAATAAATAAAAAGAGACTAAATTTGTTGGTTTTTAAAATCACTCATGTGAGATTAAACAATTTGTGGATGGCAATAATTAATACAGTCATATTAGAAAGATGATTATCATGAGTTTTCTCCAATTTGTCAGAATGCAAAGCTAAGAGCTTTTTAAAAAGATGATTTTTATCCACTTTGTTTCCCCAGTGCCTGGCATATACAATAGGCACTCAGATAAGTGTTTTTAGAGTAGATCTGAGGAGTGCAGACTGCCTGCTTCTGGGACAAAGCAAGGAGGAGTTAAAGAGAATCTAGAGATGTTAAGATTGGGTGAAAAGGAAAATCTTCATACTGAGTGAAGACATTCCTTCTGAGCTGTCTAGCAGGAATCAATGACAATTCTAAGTCATACAACACATAATTGAGGTGAAACATTTCTGTGGAAATATATTTCAAGAAAGTATATTAAAAGGTTGGTTTTTAGAACATAAATCACCATTTCCTCCCTAGGTAGTCACTGACTTTCTAAAAGAGACTATTAGCAAATCTTGAATTTATATAAAAGTGAAAGCAAAACAACAGGGCAATAGGAGCGAGGGGTATTCTTACCTGTCGTCAGTGACATCTCTGGTTGAAATAATTCTGGATTAAATATTGTATGATTCAAAGGATCCAAATGAAACATCTGTAACAAAGACAATTTAAATTGTCAATCATTATTTTTCCAACATTGTATTAAACATTTGAAATTGCTACACCTAAAACACAATTACAGAACCCAAACCTAAAGCCAAAACCAAAAAATCCGAAAATATTTCAAGTCAGGATTTTTAAAAATGCCTTCATGAGACCTAGCTAAATCCTCATGTATATGGAACTTTCCATAAAGTTGGGCTGTGTTTATGTGACAAAGGGATTTGAGAAGAATGACCTAGCTATAAACTCCACAGGGGCAGCTTAACTAGTGTATCTTCAGGGCCTAGTATATGATTATCACACAGTGGATATTTAATCAATATTCGTTGAATAAATAATTTGAATCTTGTACTCCCTTAGAAATATAAGCATAAGAATTTAATCTTAGAAATCTATATTTCTTTTATGATGGGAAATAGACCCCTACTCTAGCCATCTAACTTCAAGGCCTGAAAGAATTAAGACAGCAGCCCTGGAACAATTTACAGAAAAACTGAAACCACGACTTATAGTCTAAGGAGCAGATAACTGAACGCTGAGCTCCCTCACTTTTTTTTTTTTAAACTTTATTTACCTAGCACAATGCAAAATACCTGGAATGTAGCGGGTGTGGTGGGCTGAATAAAAGTTCCCCCAAAGACGACCACATCCTAATCCCCAGAGCCTGTGAATACTATCCCATATAGCAAAAGGGACTTACAGACATTATTAAAGTAATAATACAGAGATGGGGAGATTATCTTGGATTATCCAGATGGGCCTGATAAGTGGGATACAGGATATCAAAGTGAATAATCAGAAATGTGACAATGGAAGCAAGAGGTTGGAATGTTTAAAGGGGACATAAACCAAGGAACACAGGCAGCCCGTGGAAGCCCCAAAAGGCAAGGAAATGAAAGTTTCCAGAGGAAAGCAGCCCTGTGAACACCCTGATTTTAGACTTCAGACTTCCGATTATAAGAGTACACATTTGTGTTGTTTTAAGATACTAAATTTGAGGTAATTTGTTATAACACACAACAGAAAACCAATACAATGGGCATGCAATATATTTTGATGAAATTATATATTCTATCTTGATATATTACTAATAATTACTTATCCCAAGGGGAAATTTTTCTTTCTACTTAGTTCATTCAGGACTTTAAATTCATATTTCTGAGCTTGGTAATTGTTTCAACCTACGTAAGTCATCTGTTTGAAATGTCCGTGGACAGCATAGAAACCAACCATATTTCAGTTTTTATGATATGCTAGTGTGTTGGAGCTGCTATTTAAAACAAAAACAACAACACAAGTATATTACTGGAAATTCTTGGGTAACTAAGAACCTAGATGCATAGTTAAGTCAAGAGTAACAAACACAGTGTTTAAATAAAGAACACTTCACGTCCAGTCGTGAGGTATGCAAATTTTCAACTGAGGAATAATAAATGTGCTCCACTTCACTGCTTAGGAGTCAAGTTCATCTACACTTTTCATTGTTTGCTGAAAAGGAAATATAGGAATGAAAAAACATGTTGTTGTGAAAATGGGCCCCACCTTACAGAGTATTGACAGAGCAGAGAGTCTCAGAGCAGAAGAGATGACCCAGCAGAAAAAAAACCTCTTTCCTACGGTCCTGCCGGTGGCAAAAATGACGAGGTTAGAGGGCAGGAGCACTGATCTGAGGAGAGGGACACACAATCCATTTCAGACAAAGAGCAAGATGTGCTGTGCTGCAGCTTGCATTGTATATTAGGTCAAGTGTGGAGAGCAAATTCCAGAAGGCACTACAACACTAAGGCAGTCTCACTGAGGACGTGTAAACTTCAGGAAATATATACCATTAGGCTTGAGGCAAGAAAGCCCACTCCCAGGACCTTTCCCGTCAAAAATGGAAGTATCAGAACATGCCCCACCTGTTTGTTGCTGATGATCACAAAAATGCCCACATAAGCAAAACTTTCGAAATGAATGTTTTTAGCAGATTTTACTGTTGTGTGGCATAAAGGGCTATCTCTTGTTGATAAGATTTCCTGCATATAAACAGGAAAGCATCGTCTAAAACCCAGAAGAAACAACTCTAAGGCTGGTTAGGCTTTGACTTTAATTGTGAGAGACAGCACATTAAAAGCGAAAGGTAAAACACAGGTTTTTGATAATATGAGTAGACAAATGTCTTTCATGCTATAACTAAAAAAAAATGTTCCTAGATTTATCCTATCTCACCATTTTTACAATAAAGTTCAAAAGGAGCATCTGAATGTGAAAAGTTATGTGTACTCATTCTTTCTGAATCAATCAGAACTTTGTCAAGAGTAATGACTGCTAGAGAAGTCTATTTTATTTAAGGAAGCACTACTAGATCCCTTAGAAAGTATTTTGCTTTGGGTTTTATTTTTCTGACTGATTTTTTGCATGTGTGAATTTGGAAAATCCATTTTTTTTTTAGGTGGTTGCCACTAAAGATGAAGTATGACATGATTACAAACCTTGGCCCAGGGTGTCCTGGTAGCTCATGTCCCCTCTCCTAGTCTAGCAGGCTCCATATTTCAAATCTCAGTTTACAGAGACTTCCTCTGGAAAGCCCTCCATAACCCTGTTCTCCCCACAGGCAGCTGGGAGTCATCTCTCTGACATTCTGGTGCAGGCTGCTGCTACAGTATTTACCACATATGAAACTATCTATGTTGCTATCCCTCTTAGTAGAATGGCAGCGTCTGAAATTAGGGTCTATACGACTATTTTCATTTCCCTCCTTAGCCTGGGTTCTGCTACATAGGAATGCCTCAATAAATACCTGATAAATGAATAAACCTCGGAAGTTTACATACTTCTTAAAAATCATTATATTAAAATTTTATATTGGCACTGTAATTACCCTAGTATCTAACACTTGCTTTCAAATGCTTCATTATTTGTATTATATATACCGTGTTTCCCCAAAAATAAGACCTAACTGGAAAATAAGCCCTAGCATGATTTTTCAGGATGCTCGTAATATAAGCCCTACCCCAAATATAAGCCACAGTAAAGACTGTCAGCCAGACATGACTGTTTGAATAAATGTAGATTTTTGTACATAAATAAATGAATAATATAGATTGTTGGAGCAAAAATTAATATAAGACCCAGTCTGATTTTCGGGGAAATGCGGTATATATAATATATATTACATATGTATTCTATACAAATATAAAAAATATAGAGAGCAAAGCAAAATATTAATAATGAACAAAGGCTTGTTGGGCTATTAAACATTTCTATAGGCTTGACATTTTTCCAAGTAAAAAAGTAGGAGTAAAAGAAAAAAAGGACACCGGTATCTTTTCGTCACTGCTAATAAAATTATAATGAACCGTTTATGCTCCCAAAACACATTCATTGCCTATTAAGTCTTTTCATCACCCCTGTTAATGTGGGGTTAGCAGTCCATATTTTACGTTGTGGACTTACATCTCACTTTACTTTGCAAAGGAGAAAAGTGAGGATGATGGGAGCAAATTCCTCAGGTTTTAAGAGCTCATCAGCAGCAGCTGGCATTTACATAAAGATCTTCAAATTCCAAGTCCCAAAGGCCTTTGAACTACACCGATCTGCCTCCTCATTAGATGGCTTTTAAACATTTTGTGTCCCGCAAAAAAGATAATGTTCCAGTCCTAACCCCTAATACCTGTGAATGTGACTTTACTTAGAAATAGGGTCTCTGCAGATGTGATCAAGTTAAGATGAAGTCATACTGAAGGCTGGGACCTAACTCCAATGATTGGTGCCTTTATAAGAGAAAAGAGAGGGAAATTTGGATACAGAGAAACAGGGGAGATACAGGGAAGAAGGCCATGAGCTGGAGTGAGGCAACTACTGGTCAAGGAATGCCAAGGATTGCCAGCAACCCCCAGAAGCCAGGGGGAGAAGCAGGGAAAAGATTCTCCCTGGGAATTTCCGGAAGTAACAAACCCTGTCATCATCCTGACTTTGGACTTCTAGCTTCCAGAACTGTGAGAGGATATCTTTCTGTTGTTTTAAGCCACCTGGTTTGTGGTGATTTGTTACAGCAGCCCTAGGACCCTTGTACGGTAGTTATCATTTGACCTGTAGCATACATAATTTTTGTGCAACAATGTGTTAGAGCAGGGTTTAAGTTACTCATTTTATAAGACATGGCCTCTCTGACCTTACATGGAGGGACAGGAAAACCGCAAAAACAATTTAAAAGAAATTTTTACCAATTTTAGAGTTTGCCTGATAATTACTATTGTTACCTCTGTAGATTTAAAAATATGAATACACTTACAAAAAAATTATCAGTGAGATGATATAATTATAATACTTACTTGTTCATGCCCTCCTAAATATGGATTGTCTTCTGCCATTCTGGAGCTGTATATCAAAACAAAACATAAGCAAACTGTAAGACTGAAATGAACCTTAAAATTTCCATCATGTATGAGTGAACTGTATTATTCCAGTAAGACTAACTATAACCCTTCTTTAAAGACCTTAGGAGGAAGACAGTAGTTCTTCTTTGGAATCTAACAGCAGAAAGATTGCATAATAAAAGAATTACCACTTGCATATAATCCGAAACCCTTATGTCAAGCTCATAACAGTGTCCTGGAGTTTGGTACAACTAATCTTCATCCTCCGTATAAAAATCATGCATATTTGGATTCTTAGTGGCCATTTCTTTCTGTCACTACTTATACTTCAAGGATGCACAGTCTTAGCTCTTCGTGTAGATTATTTTCTAAACCTTCATGAATACTGTGATGGTCCTAGACCTGTCTTCAAGCTTTCTACATGCCGCTGGAGTTGAGAAGCCATGAGGGGGCCATTCTGCTGTCTAAAGGGCCTGGTCAGTGCATGACGGCACAGTGTGCTGTGCTCTGTCCCCAGTGTATCCCACTGCAGCAGGACATTTCCTGCCATTGTCAAAATGGTACAGCAGTTTCCTCTTATCCGCGGTTTCATTTTCCGTGGTTTCAGGTCCAAGTCAGAAAATGTTAAATGGAAAATTCCAGAAATAAATAATTCATAAGTTTTAAACTGTGCACCTTTCTGAGTAGTGTGATGAAATCTCCTGCCATCCTACACCATCCTGCCTGGGGTGTGAGTCATCCCTTCGTCCACTGTCTCCATGTTATTTATATACTACACTTGCCTGTTAGTCACTTGGTAGCCGTTTTGGTTACCAGCGCGACTGTCCCAGCTTTGCAGTGCTTGTGTTCCAGTAACTCTTATTTTACTTAATAATGGCCCCGAGGCGCAAGAGTAGTGATGCTGGCAATTTGGATAAGCCAAAGAGAAGCCATAAAGTACTTCCTTTTTTTTTTTAAGATTTTTTTATTGGGGAATTGGGGGGATGGGAACAGTGCTGGGGAATTGGGGGAAGGGGAACAGACAAGTTGCTGTTGTTTTGTTC